TTTATACCATTAATTATTAAAAAATGATTATTATGTATAATGTATCAGTAGTTTTAAAACAATTTTTTATTTCATATATTGTCCTGTAGGACGTAAATAGTAAGTACCTACTTGCGATTATGATAATATAATTATAATTCATGTACCTACTTTAAGTCTTTAATTTCTGAGTAATAACTGATAAGTATAATTTTATTTTATTGTTATAAATTAATACACTTTATGTGTTATAATAGTATTTATTAGCATCTATACCAAACATAATTATTTTAAACGTGCAAAAGAACAAGAGAATTTTATTTTTGATTAACTATATTATTTATAATCTACCKATATTTCAGGCAGTCACACAAATTAAACTCTACCATGAACTTACYTCTGATCGAGCGATCAAGGTCAATTGTCGCCTAAAATATCGTACACGAATATAATATGGTTCAGAAAAGTATCGACACTTAGCCACATAGGTATGTCGAATAYAATTGTGTAAACGTGTTACAACACTGTGCTCAGAACCGAAACTGTAGATAAACACCATACTTTTAGGTAATTGTACTGTAATGTATGATCTGGAAATTGGAATCCACTACTTACATAGTTGAATCTGTTTATAGGATTTATCACAATAGAAGCCCGACCAGACGATCAGGCAATTTAAAAAATTAATTTTCTAGACTCCTTTGAGTGCTCCCCTCCACGGAAATCTTTAGTAAAAGGCGAAAGATTTTTTCGTTTTGAAAGGGAACCGGAGTTAATGTTTCACCGGCGATCGGTTCCCTATATATAACTCGCCCGGCTGCGTCACTGTGTAGTTTTCAGTGTTCGCATCACACTATTTCCCCGGATGTGGACGCAAATCGGTCGGATTGCATCGAGTCCGGAACACTACCGGTGAAAACTTTAAGCTTTATAGGGACTATGAAGTCCGACCACCTGTGTTTGCGGTACGCTCAACACGCCCGGYGATAGCTTAAAAACCGCGTCGGCAAACGACCGAGTCCGCGAACGCCATCTATTGACCGTCCGCTGGTGGCCTGGCGCGTCCACAACAATAATACTGAACGGAATCGGGACGAATTTCGAATYTCCTCCTTCATCRCTTGATTTCCCGATCCATGCTCATAAGTCATAGCTGAAGTACGTAAGAGCACGACTAATTAATTCAATTATTTATTTTAACACGCGAAAGTGGATATTGGACAGCGAACTCGTATATAAAAAAATAAAAAAAATAATAAAATCTGATCGATCGAATTGGTTGTTTGTTGAAGCTTTCAAACGTCGGCTGTTGTGATTTAAATAATTCGTAATCAGTGACAACATTGGCATAATAAATGGTAGTATAGTGGTATAGTCATTTTTTGCTGACTGTGTTTGCTGTTTGTTACCGAAATATAATTATTATGACGACTAAATTTCGAGTACCTCAGCGTTTTCAATCGTATATAAATTATCGTTTTATTTCTCTCTTTAGCCGATCTACCGGGGTGCCTGGTAWAAGTGGTATAGATGTTCGTGGTTCAACGTTACACCGCACTTCTCTTACAGAGCGCACACCGATGCATTGGAAACGAAAACTGCCTCGACCCGGCCACTACAGGCCATTGCAAACACCAGGTCCTGGTCGCCGTTTCGTATTGTAATAATTGCAGTCGTTGRGGTACTCTATCACGAATTTGGCCTATTTTACTTATTGTGTTACCTGTTCTAACCTGTTGCGTTCTTTGGTGTTTGCATGATAAAACAATTTTAAAAGTTGCCCCAGTAATACCAAATTAGTGTAGAGTATTTAACAAGGTAGACTGTGATATACAGAATGATCACGATTTAAGGTAACACTAAATATCTCGGCCCTCAGGTGGATAACCTAGTATTGAAATGGGATTTTCGGGAGTTGATAAAGTCGATAGAGAGTACCTATAAATACGTATTTTYTGAAAAATTTCAAATTTTTAGCACTTGGTGTGCACATGAGCAATACAATTTATGTTTTGTTTTTTTTTTTTTATAATGGAAAAACAATTTTTTCAACATATTCAGATATATTATTTATTTTTTAAATTTGCATATCAAAAGTTTTTTCTATTTACAAAATTGACCAAGTTAAAGTAGCCAAAATTTAGATTTATGCACAATTCGTATTTAATGAAATTTTCATTTATAACCACTGGAAATAATAAAATAAGTATAAAATAACAAAATATTGTTTTTAGAATATGATATTTCGTCAATTTTATTAATTAAATGTATAACAAAATATTTATACTGATAATTGTATTATACATTGTTCAATAAAATACGTTTTAATTTTTTTACTAAACAATTTATTTGACAATTTTATTTAAMATTATTTAAATCTATAAAGAAGTTATTAATATTGCCATTAGGAGATCTGTAGATAGATAAAATACCATATATTATATGACCATTGTCCATTGTGTTCTATTAACAAATATAAACAATTTATACCTGGAATGATTCATTCTGTTGTGTTGTGAATTACATGATTTTTTATGAACATMATTATACCATCAGATTTACACTCATCGTTTCTTGTAGTTTTTATATTAAAGTCGATGCTAATGGAATATATTCAGAGTTGAAGTCATTAGTCATTAGTCATTACCTACCTATCCATGCTTCTGATGTAATCATAATTTCATAATATTTGTTAACATTTTTTCTTTAACGATAAGATGCTTTAATTCATTTAAATGTTTKTTTATACTTCTAATGTGTGTAATATATTATGCTGTTACATTTAGGATAAGTTTACATTATATCATCAATCCATCAATGTATAGTATATTATAGGAGTTTCATTCGGAATCTAAGATTTCAAAAAGCTTATTTATTAAAAGCATGATTGGTTTAAATTGTTTATAATATTATTGATTGTATAATTGTGGATGTAATATTAAGATGCAAATTTATAAACAGTTGTGATTAAGGTCTCTGTGTGATGATTAGCATGCTTTTTATGTAATTATATTGATKTTGACGTTGATTTTACATTTTCTCTAGGTCTTGCAGTATTCTTATGTGTATTGTTTTTGAACTTTCAATTTTTTTCATGAGAATGTCACAAGTTTTGACCCATACTAATTTGAATTTTTCATCTCTCCAATTTGTTCTTGCCTATCCAAATAGAATATTACAGTCTTAAGTAAGTCTTTCATTGATACATACTTTGATTTCATTAGACTTTGATTTTTTACTATGTATAGTATTTGCCGAAAGTAGAAGTTTTGCTATTGCAGTTAAGGTTTCTTTTCATCTCGGTAGTTCTAAGTTTGACTATAATTGAGTATAATGATACTGTTCTTAGAATTGGCGATATATGTTCTATAATTTGATTCAATTACGTTGATAATAATGTTTGTTTTTAATCCATTTGTCGAATGATTTCGGAACAATTTTCATTTGTGGTTTGAGGTATTCTAGTTATGTCAATGTTAGTAGGATTGTTCGATTTTTAATTTGTATAACGAAACTTTGTTTGATAGATATTTATTTTCTTTTGTAATTTTCTATTCTTAGAACTTTCACTTCAATGAGCACAGAGTTTTTTTTATTCAAATCATCGTATTGTTTACCTAAAAACTCAACAGAGCTAATAATGTTATTATTTTTAGTTTCCATTTTGATAGCTGGTTCATATTTGGTTCTGCTGTTTTGCAGTCAACATAGACAAATTTACTTTTATTTAATTTGTATAGCTTTTTTAAAGTTGACCTTAGAGATACCTCTACAATAAAATGCATTATATTTTTGCAAACATTACATATTAGTCTATCTTCATTGTGGGTTAGAATTTGGGAACATTATTCTGTATTTATAACGGTAATACGTAATCCGCAAATGATAATTAAAGTAATTAATGAAAAAAGAGATAAAGAAGCCRGYGTATAGTTGACTGTATAGAAGAGAGTATGAATAATTACTGACAGAGTCTAAACAATTATTGATACAAACACATTTAATTGAATGACTTACACTTTCTATTTTTGAAATTTTGACTAACCTCTTAACATTTAATTTAAAAAAAAAATTTAACATTTCTAATATGATATAAAGCTAATATAACCCGTCTAATAAGATGTCATGAAAAAAATTGGTTGTAATATTTATATGAAAGAATATTTAAAAACAAGCAAATTAACGTACCCCTAACAAAAAGGATGTCTTTAGTAGTAAGTATTCAATTTTCTATCGATCATGAGGGGTCAACGAATGGTATCCGCGTAGCATGCTACCAACCAAATAACTTTGTAAATGAAGTATGCTACCAACAGAAAATATGACAGCTTTTGTCATACTAATTCTTATACAGGTATTATATTATGTTTTTATTTCATTTTGGTGATACAATAGGGACTATAATAAC